CCCCCCGGGGGGCCCCCCGGGGGGCCCCCGGGGGGGGGGGGCCCCTCGGGGTCCGGTAAGAAGAGGATGTTTTTGTTTTTTTGGATTTTGCGCAAGTCCAAGAGGGTCTTTTGGACGAGGACTTCGTCGGGCTGCTGCACTGCAGCGGGGCCCCGGGGGCCCCCAATAAAAGCAGTGAAGACTTCAAACCCGGGGGGCCCCCGACCCTTAAAGACTTTCGAAACACTGAGGCCCCCCAGGGTCTCCCAGCCCTCAGCTTCGGCCTCCTCCGCGGCCACGAGAAACCCGAAGCCGTCGGGCGTCAGGGGGCCCCCCTCGTCCGCCGGGGGGCCCCCCGGGGGGCCCCCAGGGGGGCCACCAGGGGGGCCCCCAGGGGGGCCCCCAGGGGGGCCCCCAGGGGGGCCCCCCGGGGGGGCTGGCCGCAGCGCCAAAGTCACTAAGGCAACGGAAGAGAAGGGAAGTTCGCGCAGCAGCCGAACAGCTTCTGGGCTTAGAATGGGCCGGACAGCTGCTTGCTGTACCCCCTGGGGGGCCCCCTGGGGGGCCCCCTGGGGGGCCCCCTGAGGGGGGCCCCCCTCAGAAGGGGCCCCCAGGAGGCCCTCTTGGGGGCCCCCCGGGGGGCCCTCGCGAGGAGGGGCCGCCGTGGGAGCCCCCCTGGGGGCCCCCCCAGGGGCCCCCAGGGGGGCCCCCCCGGGGGGCCCCCCCGGGGGCCCCCCGGGGGCCCCCCAGCCCGGGGGGGGGGGGCCCCCCAGGATCCTGGCGGCCTCCTTGGGGTGGACGGTGAGGAGGACGTGGCTGGCAACGAGGGTTTGGCAGCGGCCGGGGGGCCCCTCAGCAGCAACAACAAACCCTTTGGACCCTTTTTCCAAGTCCGAAAGGGGACTAATAAACAAAACCCGAACTTGCATGCGCATGCAAGCCCCAGGCAAAGCCCCAAAAAGCCCCACTGCCAGCGACTGCAGGCCCCCCTCCAAGTTGGCCACCGAGGGGCCCCTCGCGCCCCCCGTGGGGTCTTTAAAGATGCTGGGGGGCCCCCGGGGGCTGGGGGCCCCCTGGAAGGGCCTCTTGAGGGCGCGAAGTGCTGCTGCTGCTGCTGCTCTTAAGAAGTGCTGCTGCTGCTGCTGCTCTTAAGAGACCCTTGTCAAGAGTCTCCTTGAGGGCCGGAAAGGCCCTGGGCATAGACAAAGCAGCAGCAGCAGCAGCAAAAACCCCAGTGGCCAGGGGCCCCACAAGGCGGCTTGCTGCTTCGGGGCCCAGTGCTGCTGCTGCGTAAGCAGCAACTGTGGGGCCGTCTTGCGGGGGCCCCCCAGGGCCCCAGCCACGGGGAGGCCCCCCTGAGGACCCCCCAAAGGAGGGCCCCCTTGCCCCTCCAAGACAGCAGCGGGGACTGCAGCAGCGAGGAGAGGTTGTGGGGCAGCAGCAGCAGCTGCCCGCCTGCTGCAGCAAACCGCGGCAGCCCCTTGGGGGCCCGCAGCAGCTTGCTGCTGAGCCCCAGCTGCTGCAGCAGCAGCAGCAAAGCTGCTGTCTCCCGAAAACTGTTCGCCCCACAGTCCCACAAAAAGGCCCCGCATGCAGACTTCCGGGTGTCTAGACAGCCCCCCACTTGTGCTGCAGCTTCCGCCACCAAAAAGGGTACTGCTGGCGGGGGGCCCCCCGGGGGGCCCCCCGGGGGGCCCCCCGGGGGGCCCCCCGGGGGGTCTCCGGGGGGGCCCCCCGGGGGGTCTCCGGGGGGGCCCCCCGGGGGGGCCCCCCCTTGTGGCGTGGGGGGCCCCCCGGGGGGAGACGGGGGGCCCCCGGGGGGGGCCTCGAGGGCCCTCAGCCGAGACAAAAGGCTGCTAGAAACTGCTGGGGGCCCCGGCAGGGGGGCCCCCTGCTGCTGCAGCAGCAGCAGCTCGTGCGCAGCTGTCAGCCCCGTGAGGCCCCCCCCCACTATCAGCACCCCCACCCGCAGGGGGCCCCCGGGGGGCCCCGGGGGGCCCTCCGCTGCAGCGGCAGGAGCTGCTGCTGCTGCTGCTGCTGCTGCTGCTGCTGCTGCTGCGGGCGGGGGAGGGGGCGAGGGGCCCCCTGCTGTGCTCAGGGCCCTGTGCTGCGCTGCTGCTGCTGCGGAGAGCCGCAGCGGGCGCGGCAGCAGCAGCAAAGAAGGAAAAAAAGAAATGCCTGGGGGGCCCATGGCGGGGAGTCTGCAGCTGTGGCTGCTGCGCTGAGCTGTCTGTACATACACCCGAACTCTGAGAGAAAATAATTAAAAAAAAAGAAAAGAAAAGAAGTTTAAGGGGGGGAGGCTGGAGGCGCTGCTGCTGCATGCAAGCCTGCAGCGGCCGCGGGCGCCAGCTCGCGGCGAAAAGACGCTATTTGTCCGCAAAAACGAATTAAATAATTAATAAATAATAAATTAATTAATAAATTAAATCCAAAAATTCAAATTGTTCGTTCAAAACGCGCAAAGGGGGGCCACTGCGCGCGCCGCGCCTCCCGCTGCTGAGCGGCTGCAGTCCGCGGCGCCGCCGCCGGGGCGGAAGCGGAAGCTGGTGGCTTTTTGAGGAGCTAAAAAGGATTTAAAAAGGATTTAAAAAGTTGCATTTGTGTTTTTATTGTTAAAATGAATAAAATTTGGAATTTGTGTCGGAGTTTACCGCAGCTTTCCGTTGCTTTCCGCAGTCTTGAACTCCCCGGCGCGCGGCAGAGCCGCACGGGCGCAGCAGCAAACTGCGCACTGCAGCAGCGAACTGCAGCAGCGAACTGCAGCAGCAAACTGCAGCAGCAAAATGGAAAAGAAATACATTTTGGCCTTGACGAAAGAACCAGTGGACCTTTCGGCCTTTCCAGAGGCCCGCGTGGGGCCCCCTGGCTCGCCGCCGCCGCAGACCATTGGTCAAGTTGTACTGCCGCGGCTGGCGCGGCGGCTGCGCGAGGAGTTTCCGGAATTCGAAGTTCTTCCGGGTTGCAGCAAAGAAGACTTCGAAAATAAAAAAGAAATTGCGCAAAAAGTGAGCCCCAAACCCCCTTTGCTGCAGCTTTCCTGCTGCTGCGCTGCTGCTGCGCTGCTGCTGCGCTGCTGCTGCGCTGCTGCTGCGCTGCTGCTGCGCTGCGCAGTGTCTGTTGCGGTGTCTGTACACCCCAGCTTCGCGCTGCGGTTTCCGGCCGCCGCGTCTTCTTCAGAGGCTCAGCCACTTCTTTTGCAGCTTAGTTCGTTTTGAGTGGAACTATACCCTAAACCCTAGGGTTTAGGGTTTAGGGTTTAGGGTTTAGGGTTTAGGGTTTAGGGTTTAGGGGTTAGGGTTTAGGGTTTAGGGTTTAGGGTTTAGGGTTTAGGGTTTAGGGTTTAGGGTTTAGGGTTTAGGGTTTAGGGTTTAGGGTGGTTTAGGGTTTAGGGTTTAGGGTTTAGGGTTTAGGGTTTAGGGGGTTTAGGGTTTAGGGTTTGGGGTTAGGTTTGGGGTTTAGGGTTTAGGGTTTAGGGTTTAGGGTTTAGGGTTTAGGGTTTAGGGTTTAGGGTTTAGGTTTAGGGTTTAGGGTTTAGGGTTTAGGGTTTTAGGGTTTAGGGTTTAGGGTTTAGGGTTTAGGGTTTAGACCACTGCGAGAATAGTGACTGCGAAGGCCTCCAGGTGGCGCTTCACGAGGGGCAGTTTGGAAGACAGCGCAGCCAAACGTGGCGCGGTACTACGCGGACGCGAACGTAAACCGCCCGAGGCAGTATTGGGATTAAGGGTTAGGGTTTAGGGTTTAGGGTTTAGGGTTTAGGGTTTAGGGTTTAGGGTTTAGGGTTTAGGGTTTAGGGGGTTTAGGGTTTAGGGTTTGGGGTTAGGTTTGGGGTTTAGGGTTTAGGGTTTAGGGTTTAGGGTTTAGGGTTTAGGGTTTAGGGTTTAGGGTTTAGGGGGGTTTAGGGTTTAGGGTTTAGGGTTTAGGGTTTAGGGTTTAGGGTTTAGGGTTTAGGGTTTAGGGTTTATGCAGGGCGCGGGAAACACCCCCGCGTTGGTGAACAGTTTGTTGACTTCGCTGTGCAACATTTCGCCCTTCTTTAGGGTTTAGGGTTTAGGGTTTAGGGTTTTAGGGTTTAGGGTTTAGGGTTTAGGGTTTAGGGTTTAGCTTCCAGAGGGCCCAGCAGCAGCTGTTCGCTGCAGTTCACCCGCTTGAGGACTGCACCCAGTTGGGGAGCAGCAGCTGCCTGTGCTGCTGCTGCTGCTGCTGCTGCTGCTGCTGCTGCTGGGTTAATTGTTTGCTGCTGCTGTTTATTTTTTTATTTTTTTTATTTTCAGTTTTTGGGAATGCGCTGCATCGCCTTGCGAAGAGATGCAACAAAGAAATGCGAACTGCTGGAAGCTGTTTATGCAGCTGGCAGCAAAGACGAGCTAGAGGTGCGTGCTGCGCATGCAGCAGCAGCAGCAGCAGCAGCAGCAGCAGCAGCAGCGGCAGCAGCAGCAGCGGCAGCAGCAGCAGCGGCAGCAGCAGGAGTGCGTTTGCAGCAGCAGCGGCACAAGGAAGTTTGGCAGTAGCAGCGGCGGCGAAAGGAAGTCCAGTCGCAGCAGCAGCAGCAGCAGCAGCAGCAGCAGCAGCACAAGAGAACTTTCAGCAGCAGCAACAGCGGATGTTAAACTGCTAGCAGCAGCAGCAGCGACAGCAGCAGTGGGATTTCTCTCAGCAGCAGCAGCAGGTTTTCCAATAGCAGCGGCAGCACTCGCAGTAGCAAATGCCCCAGCAGCAGCAGCAGCAGCAGCAGCAGCAGCAGCAGCAGCAGCAAACGCTCCCCTAATACCAGCAGCAGCAACAGCAGCAGCAGCAGCAGCAGGGAGCAGTTTGGCCTCTCTGTGGCGGTTTGGTGTCTGTTGGTTTTGCTGCTGCTGCTGCAGCAGCAGCAGCAGCAGCAGTTGAAGGAAAGGCCGGGAATAGAATGGAATTGAAATAATTAATTAAAAGAAGTTTTGAATTAAATAAAAGAAATGAAAACTGGCTGGAGTTTGCTGCTGGGCGCTCAGGTGTACAGACACTCGGACTTCGTGGTCTGCACGCTGCCCGCAACAGCAGCAACTTGCTGCTGCATCACAAAAGCGCATTTTGCTGCTATGAAAAAATCTGCTGTTTTCATTTCCCTCGGCAGGGGACAAGTTCTAGACGAAGAAGCTTTGCTGCAGGTGAGAGCAGCAGCAGCAGCAGCAGCAGCAGCAGCAGCAGCAGCAGCAGCAGTGGTAGTGGCAGAGCAGCAGCGGCAGCGGCGGCAGCAGCAGAGCTGCAGCAGCAGAGCTGCAGCAGCAGCAGCAGCAGCTGCAGCAGCAGCAGCAGCAGCTGTGGTAGCAGCAGGAGTTCACTAGCAGCAGAGCAGCAGCACTTCAGTAGCAGCAGAGCAGAAGCAGGTGCAGCAGTACACCAGCAGCAGCAGCAGTTCACGAGCAGCAGCAGCAGCAGAACTGCGAGCAGCAGCAGCAGCAGCAGCAGCAGCAGCAGCAGCAGCAGCAGCAGCAGCAGCATGCGTGTTTGTCTCAGGCGCTGCGGAGCGGGGCAATTGGGGGCGCAGCACTGGATGTGTTTCAGCAAGAGCCTCTTGCTGCTGCTGCTGCTGCTTGGTCTTGTCCTAATTTGCTGCTGTCACCCCACAACGCAGACTGGCTCCAAAACCACAGCAGCAGCAGCAGCACTCGGGTCTTCTTGGAAAACCTCCAGTGCTTCTTGAGGGGCCCCCGGGGGCCCCAAGACATGAGCACTCCAGTGGACTGCAGCAGAGGCTACTGACTTGCAGCAGCAGCAGCAGCAGCAGCAGCAGCAGCAACAGCAGCAGCAGCAGCAGCAGCAGCAACAGCAGCGGAAGCGGCGGCAAGGATGCAATGACCCAGAGCAACGGCCGCGGGGTAGACCGGAACACAAATGCATGCATGCAGCGCATGCATGCATGCATGCATGCCGCGTCAATTTGCATGCACTCGTGCATGCGGTGCATGCATGCAGCTGAGTTTGGTGATGGACGGGGCCTTTGACTTTCGACTTTAAAGTGTTTTATTTAGACGTGGCGCTGCTGCTGCTGCTGCACTTGCTGCTGCTGCTGCTGCTGCACTTGCTGCTGCTGCTGCTGCTGCTGCACTTGCTGCTGCTGCTGCTGCTGCTGCAATGGACACATGGCGGACTGAAAGCGCAGTGCTGCCCACTTGAAATAGATAAGACGAAGCTGCAGCGGCTGCAGCGGAAGTGGTGCATGCCGCTGCTGTTGCTGCTGCTGTTGCTGCTGCTGTTGCTGCTGCTATCATTGTGCTGCTGCTGCTGCTGCTGCTGCTAGCGTGCTGCTGCTGCTGCAGTCGATGCAGTCATTAGAGCGATTGCTTGATATTTATTAACTCACTAATAAAGTTGCTGGGAATTATTCAATCACTAATTTTAAAGTTATTTATCTAGTTGTTTAAACAGCACAAGAGCAGCAGCAGCTGCTGCTGCTGCTGCTGCAATCTGCTGCTGCTGCTGCCTCTGCTGCTGCTGCTGCTGCTGCTGCTGTTTCAGTCGAGTTTTTGGGTCTATTAGGGAGCAGCAGAGCTGCTGCTGCTGCTTGCTGCAGCTCCTGCGCGCGAGACTATCGCGGCTCTCCCAACTGGGCTTTTTGCTGCAGTTAAGAGAGATCTATTCTCTTAAATGAAAACATTTAAATAAATTAAATTAAATAATTAATTTAATTTATTTAATTCGAAAGATCTTCTCCGCAAAACCTTTTTCCGGGAGGCGCTCGCGCAGTCGCTGCGGTGTACATACACCTGGCAGCCGCGCCGCCAAAACCCCGCAGCTCCTGCGAAGGGCCAGCTGCTCACTTTAATTGATTTGCATGCATCTTTTGCTGCTTCCCAGCAGCAGCAGCAGCAGCAGCAGCAGCAGCAGCAGCAGAAGGAATGTGTGGAGGCCCCAGGGCTGAGGCAGGCAGCTGCAGCGGCCAAGACAGGAGCTGCTGCTGCTGCAGCGGAGTGTGGGGTTGCTGCTGGATTGGGTCGTTTTTGCGGATCTTTTTCGCGGAATTGAAATTAAAAGATAAATTAAATTCATTTTTGATCTTTTTATTTCTCTAAGTTCTCCAAAAGTCCCATTTTTGCCCCCATGATACCCGCCCGCGCCGGGCAGCTGCTGCTGAGGGCCCCCCAGCCAGGGGGGCCCCCCAGCAGCCTCCCGCGCCGCCTCTTTGCTGTTTTTCATGACCCTTTTCTTTCGAACTATCCGCAGCAGCAAGAGGGGCCCCGAGAGGGCCGCCAGGGGCCCCCTGGGGAGGCCCCTGCGGCCCCTGCAGCAGCAGCAGCAGCAGCAGCAGCAGCAGCGACAGCAGCAGCCGCGAGCGCGCCGTACCCCGGGGCTGCCAAGTCCCTCTTCGACAACGCCGGGGGGCCCCCCCTGGGGGCCCCCGCGGGGTCTCCCATGGGGACTCCCATGGGGGCCCCTCTGGGGGCCCCCCTGGGGGCCCCCGGGGGGCCCCACACCCCCAGCTCTTACGAGGCAGCGCAGCAGGGGCCCCCCTACGGGCAGTTCCCTGCTGCTGAGGGCCCCTCGGGGTCTTATGGGGCCCCCTTTGGGTCCTTTCCGGGTTCGGGGGGCCCCCCTGAGGGGCCCTACGGGGCCCCCCCTTATGGGTACGCGGCCTCTCTCCCGCCGTACCCTGTTTACCCCGCGGGGGGCCCCCCCTACCCGGGGGCCCCCCTGCAGGGCATAGGGTACTACCCGTCCCCGGCTGCAGTGGGGGCCCCCTACGGGGTGGGGGCCCCCTACGGGTTGGGGTTCCAGGGGCCCCCGGCGGGGTGGGGGCCCCCCGCGTCCGGGGGGGCCCCCTGGGGGGCCCCCCCGGGGGGCCCCCCAGGGGGGGGCCCCCCCCGAGGGTCCAGCCGGTCGAGCGGGGGGGCCCCCGGCGGGGGGGCCCCCGGGGGCCCCGGGGGCCCCGGGGGCCCCGGGGGCCCCCTGACTGCGCGGCAGCGGCAGCGGCAGTTTGTGAGCAGCTCTTTGCTTGCGGAGTTGGACTTTTTGGAAAAAGAAGGATCTTATTTAATTTATTTAAAAGGATTAAATGAAGGAAAGTTGTTTGCAAGGATGGGCCCCAAGGAGTGGCTTTACACCACCAACGTGCTGAACGAGCTGCTGCGCAAGCAGCAGCAGCAGCAGCAGCAGCAGCAGCAGCAGCAGCAGCAGCAGGGGGGCCCCTCTCCGTGGCCAGCTACCGCGCTGCATGCGAGGACTTAGTCTCTCGTCTTGTCTTTTTTTGTCTCCGAAAAGTTCTTTCTTTTCCTCCTTCCACAAGTCCCTCGCAGGTCCGCGCGCTGCCGCTGCTGCTGCGCGCTGCTGCAGCGCAGCAGCTGCCCCGCGACAGCAGCAGCAGCAGCAGCAGCGGGCTGCTGCAGCAGGAGCCGCAGCAGCAGCAGCAGCAGCAGCAGCAGCAGCTGTACACGGCCAAGCGCGTCAAGGCCACCTGGGGCGAGCTGCTGCAGCGGCTCGCCCCGCTGCTGGGCAAGTACGAAGTGCTGCAGCTGCTGCAGGTGCTGCAGGGGGTTTCTTCTTTGGCCAACAGGAGGATTATCCGCGACAACGATCTCCTCACTTTGACTCAAGGTGAGCAGCGAGGGTTTGGGGGTTTGCAGGGTTTTCGGGGGCTTACGAGGGTTTACGGGGGCTTCTGAGGGTTTACGGGGGCTTCTGAGGGTTTGCGGGGGCTTCTGAGGGTTTATGGGGGCTTACGAGGGTTTACGGGGGCTTCTGAGGGTTTACGAGGGTTTACGAGGGTTTACGGGGGCTTCTGAGGGTTTGCGGGGGCTTCTGAGGGTTTACGGGGGCTTCTGAGGGTTTACGGGGGCTTCTGAGGGTTTACGGGGGCTTCTGAGGGTTTACGGGGGTTTACGAGGGTTTACAGGGGCTTATGATGGTTTACGGGGGTTTACGAGGGTTTACGAGGGTTTACGAGGGTTCACGAGGGTTTTGGGGAGTTTAAGGGTTTTAGGGGGGGTTAGGAGGGTTTAGGGAGGTTTACGAGGGTTTAGCGGGTTTAGAAGGGTTTAGGGGGTTTACGAGGGTTTAGAGGCTTCACGAGGGTTTAGAGGGTTTAGCAGGGTTTAGAGGGGTTTAGTAGGGTTTAGAGGGTTTAGGAGGGTTTAGAAGAGTTTATGAGGCTTCATAAGGGTTTATGAGGGTTTATGAGGCTTCATAAGGGTTTATGAGGGTTTCTGAGGGTTTATGAGGGTTTATGAGGGTTTACGAGGGTTTACGAGGGTTTAGAAGACTTCTGGAGGGTTTGTGAGCGCTCATTAGGCTTTATAAGGGTTTCCGAGGGTTTACGGCGGTTTATGAGGGTTTAGGGTTTAGGGTTTTGAGAATTTTTCATCTGTACACTTCTCTCCGGGTCTCCCATCCCCCTTTCCCCTTTGTCAAAAAGCGCCCCAAATCCCCAGCCTTTAGGGTTTAGGGTTTAGGGTTTAGGGTTAAGGGTTTAGGGTTTAGGGTTTAGGGTTTAGGGTTTAGGGTTTAGGGTAACGCGTCGACGCCCGCGCGACGAGCTCGGGCTCTTTGAGCGGGAGCTCCGACGACTGCCGCTTGCGGACGCCCACAACTCAACCTAGAACCACCTCCGATCCGCCCTCCTCCCAACCCCAAATCCCAAATCCCAAATCCCAAATCCCAAATCCCAAATCCCAAACGCGTCGACGCCCGCGCGACGAGCTCGGGCTCTTTGAGCGGGTCGAGGCTGCTGACGGCGAACGCCTGCGGGTGTTGAGTTCTGTCTTTCGATTTTCGTTGGAGACTTTTGTTCCTTTTCTTTGCCTCCGCCACCTCGCCTGGAAGGCCACTCGCCTCTTCAAACTCAACCTCCGCTGGTGAGCAGCTAGCTAGCTAGCTAGCTAGCTGGCTAGCTGGCTCCGATCGACCGACCGAT